AGTTTGTTGAATCTGACGTGACATGTTCGTACGAACCCTTCGTACGAACAAAAGTAAGAGAAATTTAGGACAAGCATGAGGCCCAATGACCCGACAGGGAAGTGAAGACAAGACACAGAATATAAAAGTGAGACTAATGAGCACAGACAGGAAACACTTGGGGGAAAAACATGAGGATCCAGTGTGAGTGGGCGGGGCTGGAGCAAAGGCAGACAGGAGGAAGAAAACAGAGGAACATGCAAATCAGAATAAAGTCAAAATAAAAACATGAAACCAGACGAAACATAACAATGCCAGCTAAACTAAGCTCAACCATGTCAGCTAAAATGAGTGTGTCCATTTTGAATTATCCCAAAAGCTTGTTAACAGCAATATTTTGTTTTCTTTTAAAACCATATTAAAGAAAAAGTTCAAATAAACTAATTTAGAATTGTAATAAAAGCAGATAGCCTTTTATTTGTTTCCATTTACTTTAAAGATATACCAATATCTAAATTATATCTGACAGCTTTGTACACGTAGAGAGTCAAATTTGAGAATAACCTGCCCAAAAACCACAAATATGCAGAAGGAAACCCAGGCAATTACTCAGAACATGTTTGCTTTCTCTTCACTTGTTCTATGATTGACATAAGAATTTTCTTGGCGTTTACTACCCTGTTTTTATCAAGAAAGAGTGTTAAGCTCTACATTAAATCCAATCATGACAAACCTTCATACTATGAGTTACAGCACAAACAGCAAATCTGCTTCATTGTGTAGAAGAAAGCGAAGAGGCTGGAACTTGTTTGGTTTTTGTTGGTTCTTATGTAGAATCCTTCCTGGACATCACAATGTTCATCATGCAATTTTACAAAGAMGTACAGAAACTGGCTGAAGCTCAGTCAGAGGCAAAATGTTCGAGCTAACCAAACTGCTCACTTTTTTTGTTTCTGCTCTCTTTGTAATAAACTTGCACTAAAACCGCATTATGTAATAATTGCCACAAAATGTAATAAAAGTCTTCAACTCATTTTGTAATATTCTCAGCCACATTTTTACATTTTGCGGCAATTATTACAGAATGTGGTGGTGTAATAATCAAGGTGCATTTTATGTAATAAACAATCAAAAAACAGCATTTCTSTTCATCCTAATCAATATACTTATAATAACTGTCATGTTGCAAAATACTACGTAATTTAATCTTTATAACTTTGGTCAATAAACACWGARYTTCTCATTATTTATTTGCATTTTCAGATTTACTGTCCTGGTCCCTGTTACAGAAATTATTCCACTTTGTAGACAACTCTTAAAATATATCTAAAAAGTTAGTTGTACATATATGTCAACCCCTTCAGATGTTTACCATGAGCCTTAAAAATACGTAATTTTCGCAAAAAGAAACTGTATTAATCACACGAGGGCGGGGACGGGGGGGT